CATACAATGAATGAGAGGAATGAGCCTATAAGTAAAGGACAGTTTAAAATCATCGTAAAGACAAATAGGAAACAAGAACTATTTATAAAGGGAAACAGTGCATTCTGTTTATTGCTAAGTTTCAGAATTGTACAAAATAAAAAAGAAACTTGTTTATATACATATGTGTATATAATTATTTTAGCCATTACTGTTATTCTTTAAAGACAAAATGGAATATATCCTTACTTACAAGACACATAAAGCTAGCAGTATATCTCACGTACCTTCATTGATTACCTGTCCCAGGACACCACACACCTGTAATTGCCTGTATTTTCATATAGCTCTTACAGGCAACATATAGTAATCAATGAAAGCCCATTAAACAGTTTAGATTAGCTTAACATCTGAGAGAATGTTCTACACATGTGTTATAGAATTATATCTGAAATTTTTCTTTCCATTGGAATGGATATTTATTGTTGTTGTTTTGTTGTCTATTATTAAGCACAAAGCTACACAAAGGGATATCTATGTTCTGCCCACCACGGGTATTGAAACCCGGTTTCTAGCTGTATAAATCCGCAGACATGCCACTATGCCACTGTGGGGTTTGATATTTATTTTGATTTTTTTATTATTTCTGAATATGTGTCAGTTTGGCATAAAACATGTGGTCCAGAAAACAATTATGTTATCTCACAACTAACGTTGCCTTATGGCTTTATCTTTTTCTCTATCTGTTTTCATATTAACCAAAATGCTAAAGCATCCTTCCACTGGCCGACTGGGAAATATCTGCAAGTTCCTGTCGATGAATGTTGTGATTATGAGTGACTAGTCACCTGGTAGCACAGTCCAAGATAAATAAGCCAATGTGAGCTGGAAACCTTGTTTCATTTCCAACTCTGTCTGGTTCTCAAGTGTTTAGGTCTCCGGGAATTCATCCCGAGAGAATGAAACCTACATTGCTATATACTGATGTAGTGGAGCCGATCGTCTAATTGTTCACCCAATCACATACACACTGTAGTTGGTCTTTGTATTCATAAAGATTGTGTTGATAGTGTTTTATACTTTGTATTCAGTCCAATAATTCTTAGACCTACGCTCAGTCAGTATACATTCAGCACTGTTCCATTAAAACATTGCCTTGTGGAATCTCGTTATAAGCGGACTTATACATTCCAGTTAATGTGTACCACACACACACAGGTTAATGTTTAGCTATAGTACAAAAAGAAAAATAAGTTATCGAACTTACTATGGCCAAGTTGCATCTGTAAACAATTAAACTGATATTAACGTCGCATCTATCCATTGCACAAATGATCAGTTTAATGATAGTTTGTTTTTGTTTGTTTGTAGATAAGCACAAGGCTGCACAATGGATTATCTGTGCTCTATCCACCACGGGTATCGAAACCCGGTTTCTGTTGTTGTAAGCCTGCAGACATACCGCTGTGTCACAGGGGGGAGGCGTTTAAAGAGAGAGATCAGTCTTGTTTGTTTTTTATTAAGCGCAAAGCTACATAAAAGGCTATCTGTGCTGTGCCCATCACAGGTATCGAAACCCAGTCTTTAGCGTTATAAGTCTTCACGCTTGCCGCTTCTTAATAAAGTACCAAAGGTGTATACTGCATTGCACATAACCGAAGAAAAAATAATATACAGCTCAAATATTTCTTTTTAAATATTTTACCAAATACTAAACATATTATTACCGATATTTAGATAAACAAAAGAAGTAACAACAAGCTAAGGCGTTTAGGTGGAGACACGTTATAGTATTATAGACAAAAATAAATTTTTCAAAACATTCTGACTTGTACTTAATATAACCTGAGAATCTTCTTTTCAATGTTTGTTTGTTTGTTTGTTTGTTTTAGAATTTCGCGCAAAGCTACACGAGGGCTATCTGCGCTAGCCGTCCCTAATTTAGCAGTGTAAGACTAGAGGGAAGGCAGCTAGTCATCACCACCCACCGCCAACTCTTGGGCTACTCTTTTACCAACGAATAGTGGGATTGATCGCACATTATAACGCCCCCACGGCTGAAAGGGCGAGCATGTTTGGTGGGATGCGGATTCGAACTCTTTTCAATGTACCTTAAAAGATCGAAAACGACCTCATATACGTTATCTATTATATATTATATATATATTATTTCATGCCTTCTGCTTTTTCTAAACATAACGGTTGTCTTCGATTATCTTAAGGGTATCTCATAAATATGAATCTTAAGTAATGTTATGGACGTGTTATATTACACACAAAATATAATTTTTACCTTATAATGTTATTATGTATTTTTACCCTTCTTAGAGCTGGAGCTCTAAATGAAATTAAATCATGATGATGACAAAACCTTGTCGAAACGTTGTACATTTGCTGTTATGTTAAACTTATATCAAAGTTTTTCTTCATTACCCATTCAAGCCGTCTCCAACCATTATTAATCTCAAAGTGGGTTCCTCGTCATCGAATTAGAATAGTATATCGCTTCTCAGTTTACATTGACAGACAGGACAGCAGTAAGTTTACGTACTTACAACACTAAAATCCGGGGTTCGATTCCCCGCGGTGGACAGAGAAGACAGCCTAGTTTGGCTTTACTCTAAAATACACTCCCGAATACTTTTAAATACAATTAGGGACATTCTTGCAGTTTAAAAACGCATTTTTAACTCATCCTTCTGTAAAAAAACAAAAAAAAAAACTTCTAAACGTAACCTCTTGTTAGATCAATTTTGGCCCCAAACTACTACCACCACTTCCTGGCAAAAATACATAAAACTTAATCAGTACCTCAACCATTCCTATAACACTCAATATCGCCTTTTGTAAAACAATAAAGCTAAAGCCAAAACCACCATTATTACACAGTAGCGTGTAAGAATGGGTAAAGAGAGATTCTCATCTCTGACCGCCCGTGGCTCCTGCCTGAAATATCTTCCAAGATTTCTTCGTATCCATCATACCAGAGAAGAAGACCATATGACGAACTGAAAAAATAAACACTAAATCAACAGGATATGCACTAGACATGAGAAAAATAAAGAGTGTAAGAAGCCTTATACATCCACCTAACTGATAACACACTCGGTCCATCCTGCACAGAAGTCAGCTAAACTTGGATATCCCTCTTGAAAGCTGTCAGATAGTTAGTTGATTAAAGTTTTAAATCTAGGAGATCACAGTCGATTGGGATAACGTACCAGACTTTACATTAAGAAGACCTGGCAGTTACCAACATAGAAAGGCTTCAAAACTTCCTGACAAAAGTAGATTAGTAGTCGACACGTAGTATAAAACTAAGTAGTAATTATTATTTACTCACACACGTATATATATATATATATGAGTTATAATTAAACTACTAACCATGACAACGATTTTTAAATTTCTCTTTACATTTAATGGAATTACGACGGTAATGAATAGATTAGTACCACTTCTTTTCCGGACAATATTCCGGTATTTATCAAAATGCTCTCTAACATACTTCAAATCTTTACAAACTCGGATTCCTGAATGATACTCTATCGGTTTTAACGTTTTAATACTCCACGGTACCATAACGTTGTAATATATACCACTTCATATACGCGCCCTAATTAGGTTCTAAGTTGTCTTTTCAGAGCTTTTATGTAGAACTTTATTGAGTGGCTTGATATTTACTTCTATTGCGCGATTCCGGTGAACATTTGTATATTCTCAAAACTTAAGATATTTCATTATTAAGTTAAGAGCCATAAATTATCATTAGCTACAGTACCAAGGTTATCAGCGAATACGTGGTTGAAAGAAAGACGACGATTTACATTCGCAAAAAGAAGGTAAAATGTCGTGTAACTCCCCATTGGTTGTGTTACCTAACACATCATGATAACTACAATTATGCTACCAGTCGCCCTCTGGCGAAAGTTAGTTGTAAAGAAGTATCTCTAACTATAGATACCACTTTAATTAGTTCTATAGTCTGTCAATAGATAGAGCCATAAGGTAAACATTATCTTTTGTGCATTAGCAAATCTTGCTAAACACGACGTTCTTGTGCACGTTCGTTTTCTGCAAAGCAAGTGTAATACAGTTGCATACTTTGTGTTTGCTTCCAAGGTTAGTTAATATGTAATGCTTTCATCAAAATTATTGTGTTTTTATTTCTCGGATGGGACGCAGAGAGTCGCTCAAGTAACACTTTAACTTTCCTTGGTTTGAGATGAGGATTTACTAACTAGAAACTAACTGACTTTTTTGCATGTAACACGTACTTTCTTGTAGGGAAGATAACACGTGACGTACACACATAAAAAGCCATTCATGTTGTCGACGAATAGGATAAGGGTCAGGGGCAGCCATACCACAGAGCTCAACTCCCAGTGAACATAGATCTTGGATGCGAAGTGTGCACCCACGTACAAAAGTGGCTTTATCAGGGTATTGTGGTTATTGAATGTAAAATCGGGTTTGTCCCTTTAACACTAGATTTAGAGAGTTTTTCAAGAGTTCTTAGAACTTTTCTAAGCATAATTTGTAACTTTTAGAACATTTTTAACATCAACTTTCAGTAACGTTAGTAACTTTTATAGCTTTAAGAACACCATCACTTAACATTTTATTTGAGGCGTTGTGATTTTAAAGTATTTGTATTAGAGTTTTTAACTAAAGACAATATTTGAAGTAAGTGAACGTTATCATTTTATTATTTTAGTTAAAGCTTAACTGAATGCTCTACGGGAAATATCACACAAGTAAAGATGTTAATTAGGCTTAAATTTTCATACAGTCCATATTGTCTTTATTTTTTTCGTAATAAAGAATATTATCAAAGTGCTGAAAGTGCTGGTTAGAGTGCTTGTTTGTTTGTTTCAGCACCACAATGTAAAATGAGCTATCTGCAATCTGTCCAGTCCAAGAAATCGATCCACAGATATTAGCATTGTAAGTCCGTAAACCTATCGTCATCATGGGACTCGTTAGAGTGAAGCTTGAGTTGAGAAATAAGACGACCATACCTGTTCCCCATGTCGTATCAATCAAACGCCACGCCCCAAAGATGAAGATTGCATTCCACGCATGCATTACATCTTCTCCAGGATTGAACTGATGGCCAGGCCTATAGTTGTGGCCTTTAACAAATCCTTGTAACGTCTTTACACGTATATTGGCGAGCCTGAAAAATATTTACAGAAAGCATTAGCCGTAAAACAAAACTAGGATGTAGAAAATACATCACCACAATGAAGTTTAATATCGTATGGAAATTCCAATGCACTGAAAAGGGCCCCTAGTGAGATATAATCGTATATATTTTTCTTCTAGAATTACTATAAATTTCTTTAAGAAGTCTGAGTGTGGTCTAATGGTTAGTGTATTAGAGAAACCGAGGATCTCAGGTTCAAGACGTGATGCTAACAAAACATATTTGCACTTGCAGCTGTGAATGTGTTATAAGAGTGAAAGTCAATCCCCCTATTTGGTTAAAAGTAGCCAGTTAAAGCAACAGCTGCTCCCGATTGGTGGAGTTTCCTCTGGTCCACAGTTTAACATTGGAATCGGCTATTCCATAACCACAGTGGCCATTTAGTCTACTGTGTATATATGTTAGTATTTTCAGTTTCCTTGATATATGAAGTTAGTTTACACTTCGCATCTGGGGATCACTATCTAGAGTCCTAGAAAAAAAAAATTACAAATAATAAAATATGTAACATATAATTTGATAAAGTATAGTGAGTATCTTTAA